GCAAGCATGTTTGGTGGGACCGGGATTCGAACCCGCTACCCTTAGATTACGAGTCGAGTGCCCTAACCACCTGGCCATGCCAATAACATTATATCTTTCACCCGTAGGTATCTGAAATAATAAAATAGTAATTCCATTTTCTAAAAAAGGTTAAAATACTGTGCAATAATTAACACTAAAATTCTCACTTATGCATTACTCTTTTTCACTTTAATTTGACTTTCTGTTTTTCTGATATTATTTTATTTCAATGGAGTTATACTTACCATTTAATAGTGAAATTAACATGATTCCTCCTTACGTTAAACTCTTTAGAAAAGTTGGGTTTGTAACAGTAACATCGCGAATTGGGATATATATTTATAACATAACCCGATTCTGTAATCAAACTATGTTTATGTTTATTGCAACTAAAATATTTGCCTTCACTAGTATTTTGTATCGATTCAAATACACAACATCGCAGTCAATTATCCAAATACAAGTGAACGACAGTCCTTTAAGTCTAGTTATATAACATAGTTGCAAATAGTATCGAACATAAAATCTGTATTTGCACAAAGTTGTCTCAGTTCTCCGTTTTCTTGTATAAATTAAAGATTACGTATAGATCGTATACAAATGTGGATTGGATATAGGAATATTTTAAGATAGTAGTACAATCTTTTTTTTATATATTCTTGTACCTTCTTCCAACTGGTAGTTAGCAGTCGGAGACAGTAATGCCACATGTTATATCTGATGGAAATACCATAACGCTAATTGATCCGAACGTTAATTAATCGTTTGACTAAATTTTCGAGATTTGTAGTTTAAATCTGACCTTATCGCTCCTCACAAAAGTTTGTTATAATGGAAATTGTGGTGTCTGGCAATTATGGGTCTGTCATCATGAAGCACAGATCCTGGAACATCGATTTTATAGATCTCAGCACTGTTTTGGGATGTTGATAAAGCATTTTTCACGTGCTGATTTTTTTGGTAACGTTTACAATGTGAAAAAACTACAGATGTTAAATGGACTTTAACAAAATATAATAACAACTTGGGAATATCTCGTACATTGCAAATCGTGTGTGACCTAGCGAAGGACGATGTTTTGTTCATTCTTTTTGTGTCCCGGGGAAAATAACTTCCAGATTTATAATTTTTATATCTAAACTATTGATGCAAGGTTGACGTTTTCTGTGTGAAATACAGACTTACTAGCGTTGCGAAATGTATTGGAATCAAGTTGGAGGACAACGAATAAAAATAAAAAGGGCCATTAAGGCGAAAATCATTTTGGTTTATAAAGCCTAGCATGGCCTATGGTTAGGGAGCTCGACTCGCAATCTGAGGGTCATGTGTTCGAATCTCCATCACCGAATATGCTCACCCTTTCTGCTATGGGGGTGTTATAAAATGATGATTAATCCCACTATTGGTTGGTAAAAGAGTAGCCCAATAGTTGGCGGTGGGTGATGTTGACTAGCTACCTTTCTTTTACTCTATCACTGACAAAATTGAGGATGGCTAGCGCAGACAGTCCTCGTGTAGCTTTGCGCGAAATTCAAAACCAAACCAAACCGGGCATTTCCGGATACACTTATTTCTCTTCTGCATGGTTATAATTAGAAAAGTCTGTAAGCGCATTAAAGGAAGACAGGTCAGGATGGGAAATAAGTGGACAGTGCGTAATGTGGCGGGGATATGGGTGGAATATGTTTTTAAGAAACTTGCTAGTTAGGTTGATGAGAAAGTAGGAAGACAGGTCAGGAAGAGGGAATTGGAGAAAGCGTGTAACGTGGCTGGGGGAGAGTTCGAATCTATTGTTAAGAAATCACGAGTTAAGTTGGTTAGCCATATTTTAAAAGGAGTTTGTGCACATGTTATATCTTTCTGTATTTTCGATCTGAATCTTTTTAATTTAGGTTGGATTCTATGTTCTGATCTCCAAATATAATATACAAATCATCCGTCAGCCAGTGAAATAGACAACACTATATTGGATCAGACTTTCTTCCTCAGGTTTATAGCTCGTTACTCAGTAAGACTTATGAGAAACATGTTTAAAATTAACAAAGTTAAAGTTACTAAACGGAAAAATTATGTCAGTTGAAGAAGTTCGATATTTTAATTAAGACCAAAAGACCATTGGGAAAGTCGGGAGTTGAAGCAAATTTGTTTACGATATTTGATATACAATCCACAATTGAAGAAAAACCTTTGTTTAGATAAAGGAAAAAAATCAAAGCAGATTGTTGAATCTATACATCAACTGAATTTTCTTTTGAACTTAGATTTTAAAAAAATACAACGATAAACGGTACAGTGAAAAGTGAGATAAAACAACAGCCGATATTGTGAAGCTTCAGTCAGTAAGAAAATATATGAATATAATAAAATAGTGTAGCATAGCTGGTGATTAAACTGCATGACGTAATTTGGGGCGGAATTGTAACTAAAGTAAGGTCTCTCTCAAAATGATGAAATATTACACAGTTATATATACTACTTCTAGACATTAACATTTTTCAGTTTTTGCTGTGAGAATACTATTTTTTTCTCCAACAAATTACAGCATAATGTATATTTAGCTTTCAATTTTGTAGGTTCTTAATGAATTGACTCTTTTTCGTCTTTGGAAAATTATTTTTCGTTCAGTTTCAATTAAAAAATCGCTTAAATTATCGCTTTTTTGTTTTTGTAGTAAACCTTATCATTAATAAAACAAAAATTGTTTCTCAACTAATTATTATGAAATGGCAATAATTTATCTCATCTTTGTTTGTTTTCGGACAAGTCCTTAATGACATTTCCAATCAACGAATCGAGAGTAATGAAATGTGCTTAAATATTGTTTTACTACGTTGTCAACGTTTTGTCTAGAATAATCCTCATTCTTCTCTTTGAAATCAACAATTACAAAACAAAAGTTCCTCACAGATCCACTGCACATTGTGGAGGGTTAAATTCTCCAAAAAAGTTTAGTTCGTACAAACAGGCCATCACGAGAAAACCAGAATACAATACAAGACATGTTAATCCCACTTTATAGTTGAGGTTCCACTTGCAAAAAACGAGTATAACAAATAACATAACAACAGTCCCTAATAAAGTAGCAGTAGTGTAAGTTAGAGCTGAACTATTGATGATGAGGAACCCTTCATTTGATGGGAATAATGTTCTGACCAACCAAGGAGCACCAAGACAAAAAAGAATATCAAAAATATTACTCCCGAGCAGGTTACACATAGCCATATTTCCCAAACCTGAAATAGATATAATCCTTATTTATAGCTTTAGCGACGTTGTCAATATCACTTCTTTCACAAGACTAGTGTCATTATACCAGTTACAAAGATTTTAACATTTCATAAACAAACATTTACTATAGACGATATTGCTTGATTAAAGAAATTAGAATTCTTACCTCACATTTGTGATTCACAACTACGGTAGATATAAATCTCATTCATATCTCTAGCTATTTAGAGAAGAATAGGTATAAACCTCGCTTCACATTCATGGTTAAACAAAGACAGTAGATATGTCTTTAGTATTTCAATACAACCAAGCTTACTCTTACATAATATATATATATATGTCTATATTATACAAAATTCTTAGAAATTTTGAAGATCTAATTTTGGAATACTAATTCGTTTTGAGATATTGTGCAAAATTTCAGCTTATTGTCTTTTGAAACTTGATCGGTCAAGCATCTTATATGCTATATAAAGTTCTCGAAAAGCGGACATTATGTTCTTAATCTCAGAAGAAAGACGTGTTTTCTCAAGTTTTTTTACAGAAAAAGTTTTTTTGAAAAACACTGTTGAAAAACATTGCTAAAATATAAACGTATAGGTTTAGTTTTTTGATAAGTCTTATTAGCACAAACCTTTGTGCCACATTGTTTTTTCTACCAAATGTTTGTCATGATATCTCGCACGTCGTTTAAATGGTTTTGTGTGTGTGTGTTTTACAACATCTGATATTTCAAGTAAATGAAAAGATAAGCTATATAATTATTAAAAATCAAAAGAAAAATATATATTATATTTTTAAAAAGGACAGTTAGAACAAAAAAGGAACTGTTGTATTTTTATTTCTAATTAATGTATATATATTTCGGCTCTTTATACCATGATTTTATCACCGGAATCAAAACGTACTTATACCTTTAAATTAAGAGATATAATGAAGTACCCTAGCGTATCTAAACAAGCAAACTAATTAATAAGAACGTTAACATACCATTTCGTATAACAATAATACTTGAGATGACCTCAGGGATGCTGGTTCCAGCTGCTAATATTGTGATCCCTGATACAGTGTCTGGAATTCCAAAAGTATAACCTAGGAAAAATAAAAATACACAAAGCTGAATAAGTACTGAAAAGTGGATTTTTTGTGTATAATTCCTAGAAATATCATTTTACAGTGTAGTAGATGATAGGTTTGATTGTTTCGGATATTTGTGCAAAACTAGAAAAGAACTATCTGTGCTTGTCAGCTCTAAGTTTGAACTGATAGACTACAAAGAAAGCAGATGAACAACAGCACCCTCCGCTAGTTCTTGGGCTACTCTAATCGAATAAGATTTGGCCATCACTATTATAATATACAGATAGGCCGAAAGTACGGAGTTCAATGTTTTTTTTTTATGCAGAAATGAGACACAAACCATGAACCCTCGGATTCATAAGTCGGGACGCTAAACATTAGGCCCCGATAGTGTAGTGTAGATAAAGGGAAATTCAAGTTCATGTATTTTTGTTTTCATTCTACAATATTCGTTAATTAAACTATGTAACAAACATTCGAAAGAATGAAAATAAAAACACCCTTGTTCACAGGTTACTGCGTTGTTTAGAATTCTTAATATAGCATTTATAAAAAAAATTAAAAACACAAAGCAGAAACATATGTTAATAAGAAACATTCTTACTTCCTTTGGATAAGCTAGGAAAGCATTTATAAGGTAGTGGATAAGAAATGAAACAAGCAGTGTTTGTGATATATACAGTTAATTTTTCGAACATTTATATTTTTTATTTTAAATGTTAATATTCAATGTTCTCACTTGTATATGTAGTACACTCTCTGAAACTTCTGTAATTACATACCTAAGATATAAAGTCACAGAAGACTAACAAACATGTCACGGATGTTAAGTTTTGAATTTTTTAACTCTAAGTAGTTAAGCTGCTTTTGTACGGGGCAGAACCTTACTGGTTTTTAAAGGTCACATACTTATAACGTTATGGAGCTCGAATAGGTTCTGTACAGGCCATATGAGATGGTGCGATAATTCCTATGTGCCACTAGAAGACACATTAATAGTTGCATATAGGCCCACTAAAAGTTGTAATGATTCAATTTGTTGAATATGTTATATTTGATGAATAATTACATTCCGTCAGACCCATGTGAAACGTGTTACGTTAGCTAAAAACGTGAGTCACTTCTATGAACACATACGTCATAAAATAAATTATTATAATCATATTATTTAATTATATAACTATCAATTCTACAATTCTAATTCCTTTATTATTGCACTTTTTAATTCTGCTAATATCGCTTTTTATCATCTGGCATGATCAGATTAACAAGATATCAAATATAACAAGTATACAGGTTCATTTAATGCAAAACTATAAAAAAATATATTTGAAGATATAGATGATTATAATAAACTAGAGAAACCCAATAACCAAATTACATCTCATAAGATGGTCTATTATATTCAATATAATTACCTTACTATTTTGGAGCTTCCCAAACCTTTGTATATCACAGGTACCCCCCCCCCCCCCAGTGGCACAGCGGTATGTCTGCGGACTTACAACTCTAGAATCCGCGTTTTGATACCCGTGGTGGGCAGACCACAGATAGCCCATTGTGTAGCTTTGTGCTTAATAATAAACACATCACAGGCACCTTTTTGCTTGTTTTTATTATATTACATTTTACTTATAAAACCAAAGAATAAGATATTAAAAACTTATAATAACAATCAATGTGACTTCACTGCCAATGAAACTGAGATGCTGTATGTTTGGATGATTATAACTATTATATTCATGCCACTGAAACAGTTTTACTCATGTTACGTTACAGGTCTCGTGATCTCCAACAGTTTTTCGACGTTCTGAGAGTAATAGGCTTAGGCTAGATAACAAATAATATGTTTCACGTTGTAATGTTTACATTAAAACTGAGTCTATATAAAACCAAATTTCAACGTTAAACGTATACAGGCGTACGGTTTTCTATACTATGTATTTATACTAACAGAAGATCGATGGTTAGTGTGCCTGACCGTGAAACCAAGAGTCCACTTTCACATCTCATTGGTGCAAATATATATAGATACGTAACAGTCAAATCTCACTGTTAGATTGGAATAGCTTCCTAAGAGTTGACAATGATTCCAGTTGATTAGCTATCTAGTCTACCAGTTCATAGTTCAAGTTTGCAATAATAGATAGCCCATCTGTTGGTTTGCACAAATATTCAAAATAAACAAACTTCATTTACAATACTCTGAATAAAGACTGTATCTCTATACCTCTCGATGGGTGAGCGGTAAATTTACCAAATCAATTAGTTGAAAACAGGGGTTTGATTCCTCGCGACTGATAGAATGAATATCGCTTATTTTGAACTAGGAAAACAACATTTGAATCTCTGTCATTAAGATATATCAATAAAACAATTTGAGAAGGAGGTAACAAGAACGATATTAGAAAAAAGATAATATGACTAAAAACTATGATAATTATTAGTAAATTGTTTAATAATTTGCTTCTATATCATTAATAGAAGCCATTCTGTTCATTATTACAAGGGCTTTTCTAGAAATAGTGAAACCATCTGCAGAACACCCTCTTGCATTATAGTACTACCATATTACAGCACATTTTTTTCCAGAAACATCGTTAACATGAACAATCTTTTCCAGACATGAGGAAACCATGTAGAAGACTTTTCAAGTAAAGTAGTATCACATAGAGAATACATCCTCAGTTTTATAGTAATCTGTAAAACAGACATATTCAGGAATGCACTGAAGAACCCTGTAAAAGCGTACAACACACTTCTTTAGGTACAGAAAAACACTTCTTCCGGAACGTGGTATGGTTTGGAAAACACCTTTTCAAATACAAAATTATACTGTTGAGCACTTTTTCCCGAAAACGAAAGTGCTCTGCAGAGTATACTTTTCCACATAAAAAGTACCTCATCGAATACGCTTTTCCAAATATAGGCGTTTTCTGTAAAACGCTTTTTCAGGTTACAGCGTTGGCGTTTAGAGCACATTTAGCAAAAAAAAAAGATTTAATTTACAAAAAATATATTTTGAAATAGTGCATAATCTTATAAAGCATACTTCTAATACATATGTGTCCAATAAAGCACATTTTAAAGATGTTCTGGTTCTTCCACTGGCTCAACGGTAAGTTTCAAATAGCTTATTGTGTAACTTTGTGCTTAACAACAAAAAACAAACAATATTCTAAAGTATTTCTTTATGTAAAGATGTAGTTTAAATAACACATGTTTTAAGTTTTCACTAGATTTTACAGTTATTTAATATAAGGTACATGATATAAGTATTATCCTAACGAACATTTAACATTTTTCTAATTGGATTCTAATATAACTCCTACTGATGTGAAGTCAGTGACGAAGTACAAGAATGGCAATGGTCAAGCTGAAATTTATCTAAGGAATCTGAATGATGTAAAAAGATTTATACAATGACAGTGCAAAAATATAGATTTCTGACCAAACTATTTAAACATTAAACATAAAACTGTGAGAAAATACTCACCTATTATCGTTACCATCCAGACAGTTAAATATGATATTATTCCAATCCACACAACGGACATTAAGAATGTTATTATATAATATTTCCTGAAATTTTGTTTCCGACAGTCCAAAACGGTGATGTAGAGCAAAAACGAAGCTGGCCACATAAGAACCCACCAGATCTGTCGTAGAGAACCTGTCACAGGCATATACCAGACAGACGTGTCTTCCTCGGTTTCCTCGTGCATCTCATTCACTGTGGATAATACACAAAAATATGTTCTAAGAACTTAAGAATGAAAGTAAACAAGAATGGATAGTAATATGCCAACCAAGCTATATCTGCCTTATCCAGTAGCGACGAGGCCTTTCCTTCAATACCAAGGATCTTCAAGCCGGCTAAGTGTGTGTGTGTGTACTTTCTTATAGCAAAGCCACATCAGGCTATTTTTGTGTCCCCCGAGAGGAATCGAACCGAAGACTTACCGCTGTCCCACCGGCTAAGATACGACAGGTACAGAAGTGCTTGAGACATTACTGCTGTTACCAATCGTTTTTCATATGTCTGAGCAAGAGCAATTCATTCTGTGTCTTTAAAATATGAGACATATATATCACAATAGCCTCCAAATGAAGTTTTAAATGTTTTTGCTATTAATTTTGATGGATAATTCATCATATAAAACCACTTTGGACGAATGACTACAAAACTAAACAAATATCATACAACACTTTTATGAGTGTCTCAATATGTCTAAAGATATTGTAAGATCATCTGCTTTGTTAACGTATCGTCTTTTTTTAAGATGTTATAAGAGCATCTGTTTTATTAACGTACCTCTTTTCTCTAAAGATGTTATAAGAACATCGGACTTGTTAACGTATCGTCTGCCTAAAGGTATTACAAGAACATCTGCTTTATTAACGTTTCGTCTGTTTAACGATATTATAAGAACATCGGCTTTGTTAACGTATCGTCTGCCTAAAAGTATTACAAGAATATCTACTTTATTAACGTTTCGTCTGTTTAACGATATCAGAATATCATCGGCTTTTTTAACGTATCGTCTGTCTAAAAATATCTAATCAAAAGTACCTTAGGTGTGAAGAAAAAGGTGCGGCCAAAAAAGGATTGAGCCAGGGGTGTTGGCATCGGGATCTAGATCCTTTCTATGGAACTGAGAGAATCAGGTTCTACTTAGAATTCTTCCTCCCTCCTGAAATATTGTTAATTTTAAGTTTGAGTATTGTAATTAGCGTGCTGGTAGTGGATTTTATGTGTACTTTCTGTTACTCTTTCAGGGAAATGTCCATGGATTTTGTCAGATTGCTAGTTTTAGATACTTTGGGTATGAATTAGTTTTTTCGCCCTGTGTAGTTGTGTTCTGCAGGGTTTGTATTATTGAGTTTACGAATAGTTGCATTATGCAAGGTAGTAATGGTGTGAAGTGTTGTTTGACAATTGTTATGAATAATGTGATACAGTCGTGTTGATTTTGAGGATTGAGCGTGAGACTTAAATAATTGAAATCAAGCTGGTAGCTACACTTATAGCGCTGATAAAAATTTTACAGCAAATATTCATTCATTAGTTAGCCAGGCCACGTTTTTGTTCAACCTGGGGCATGATGGTGGGTAAAACAAAATATGCATCCTAGCTAACTAATGGATGAATATTTGCAGTAAAATTCTTATCAGTGCTATAAGTGAAGCTACTAATTCGGCCGCCAATTTTAGATTTCATTATTTTAAGTAGCACTCTCAATCCGTTTTTGGCCGCACCTTTTTTTCCATATATAAATATCATGACTTTTTGTCAATACAAACCAACAAACCACAGCCAAGTAACAAAGTGACACTCTGTAGTAACCAACACTGCTTTAGGATCGCAACCCTATTATTCAGAATAGACCTATACTTTACAGAACCAACCAGATTCTTTAAAATATATGATGTTTGTTTTCCCTCTCTAAAACAGGTAATAATTTCCTGTATAGTAACGCCACGGAATCTAGATCAACAGTTTCTTATCATCACCCGCATGCACTCAGCGCAGCCATATCCAGCATCATTATTTAGACTAATTGCTTAAGCTAATATCATGTGACGCTAAACGCTTTTTAATTAGGATTCTTTCACAAAATTTAGTAGATTTGTGCTTAAAAGTTGGCAATGAATAATAATTAATAACTGTCCACCCATATGATTATTTTGAAAACTTGAGCTAGAAACCGTTAATCTAGTTTGCTTGGCCTAACCAATACTTATGTATCTACACGTCCTTTCACCCTATAGTTTTGCTGCTCCAAATCAACCGTCTATAATCTAAATGACAAAGACTAAAAACAGTCCACTTTTACTCTTATATGAAGCTGTAGTAAATATTTCAGACCGATAACTTACGCGACTTTTTGCGTAGGTGTGGGCAAATATTTTGGCCAAATTTGCGCGGTTTCTTTGAATAACTTTGCACATATGACTTATATTTACAACAAATTTGACACCTAACTGTAGGATGAAAAGAGCTATCAGTGTACGAAAGTTGAAAAAATCTACAAAAGTTAAGTATGTTTTTCTATCAAATAAAGTTTCCGTACTTTCTGTGCGAAGAAAAAAATAGGAAAAGTTCAATTAACATTGGAGATTTTATATCTCATGTATTTCTTAAGGGACTGCTAAACTATCACTCCTGTCAATAACAGTGTATCCTGTAGGTTGTTTTGGTTGCACGACACACTACCGTATGTCTTGATTACAAGTACATCTGTTTTATTAACGTGTCTTCTGTCGAACGATATTACGAAGGCATCTGCTTTATTGACGTATCGTCTGTCTAACGTAATTACAAGGGCATCTACTTTACTAACGTACCACTTTCTGTGATAATGTGGCTTTCTCGTCTAGATCTTCTTTCGACAATACTTTCTTCGATTGAGAGACGATTTTGATCTACCCATGACACAGACCTCTTCTTTACTTCGTCTCCTTTTACTTTTGATATTTTGTCAGAGTCTCCCAGCAGTGGACTTTTTTCATTAACTACATCTTCATCAGCCTGTGTAAGCCTATTTTTCTTCCAAGACTTACATAATTTTTCTACCTTAAGTTGAAAAAATACAACAACATATTGTTAGAAGGATTTGACGTTTCTGAGTAAAGATAAAATAGTGTAGGAGAGCACACACTAATCTAATGATCTACAATAATCATCATAAGCGTAAATATAACTAAAGCAAACATTCAAAGTTATTAAACTGACTACTATAAATAACAATAGAACAGATGATAGCGTATAGAGTAAATAACCAGGCATTGACTCCTAATCACTTAACAATGCGAACATATAACTTTTCATCATAGTGTATTCTACTAAATTGCCTGTGCAGAGAATTTTACTGTGTATCGTTTACTGTGAAGGCACCAAGTTAATGATTCAATGTATTCTAATAATTACAGGTTTTAGTTTTATGGTGTTTTGGTTTTAAAAATTAGCAATTTCGAGCCAGTCTAATATATCTATCTTAAGTATATTAATGTATAAGCTATTTTTTAGGTTGTATCTATATAGCCAATTTACTTTTGATAAGATATTTTTATTAATAGAAAAATACTGTATTTTTCTATTAATAATTGCACTTATTTTCACAGTACATCGAAAACCTAATCATGGTTTTACAAATGTTATTCATGTCAAAAGTTTAATATACCCAATTTGTGCAAGTGAATACGCACAGGCTAACTTTGAAAATAAAAATAAAATAGTGATTTTTTAAAATAATAACCAATAAAATAGAGCCATGAAATTCCATGCAATTAACACAATTGAAACCTGGCTTATATGAATTAAAGGAATATAATATAAACAGATAACTCGTTAAAGTAATTTTTTGTTTATTACTAAAATCATCACTTATTCAATTGACCAATTGAATTAAACAATTCAATAGTTGTAGAAGATTTAAAATCATTAATTCAGAAATTTCTTATGTTTTAACTAAACGACCAACTTTCAATGGAAGTATTATGATTTCACTATCATTTCATAGATGATAATTCTGATGTTATTCAGTAATAGTCTGGTAATCGTACCTGTGTTCATAAACAGTTTAAATAAATCGCCCAACAACAATGATAAAACACGAAAAGGTAGGACAAGTCCAAATACTTTAGTTATTTGTCTATCTGTTTATTTAAAATCAGATTAAAAGCAAAAGGTTAACATGCGTGAATGATGTTATATATTAAAAATTTGAGTAACTCTTAGACTGACAGTACCTTGTTGCTGAAATATTAAATTTTAGTCGCCTGGCAATAATTACCATACATAGTAATAAAATGGTTTATAAAGACAATTTGGGATTTTGAGATGAAAAATACATAGCCATTATTAAAAAAACAATTCTAACTTCAGTAGCTTATCGGTAATTCTAAAAACTTATAATGGTAATACCCATGATGGACACAGCACAAATAGCCTATTGTGTAGCTTTGTGCTTAACAACAAACTTAAATATAGTTAATAACATATTCTTGCCTCCTTCTGAATGTGAGTAACAGATATTTAAAAAAACAGCAGGTTATTAACAAATTTATCATTTATTCATTGATAAGAACTTGTAAAACTGAGAAGAATAAAAAGAATATTTAAAACTAATAATAGGTTAACGTTAAAATCATAACTTATTAAATGTATTGGAGAAAATTCAGTAACGAAAATATATTTTAGAAATAATGGTTGGAGACGGCTTGAATGGGTAATGAAGAAAAACTTTCATCATTAGAAATATTTGGAAAACACGTTTTCTCTCAGAAAACATTTCAAATTACTAAAATAGTAAGCTGGTTTTACAGATCTTGTTAATCATTTATTGTTGAATACCATGTGCTTCCAATATCGTGTTGAGATGCTTCACCATAAAAAAACTCATATACCATATATTATTGTTCATTAGATAACGTCAAACCTTTTACGGAACAGAAGACACCAAATAATAGGAACTAATTATCCTGGTTTTTACAGTTTTCTTATAGAAGACGCCCAATAATAGGAACTCTATATCCTGGTTTTTGCGGCTTCCATAAAAAAGACGCTAAATAATAGAAGTTTATATCATAGTTTTTCGGTTTTCTTACAGAAGACGCCCAATAGTAGAAGTTTAATAATAGTTTTTCGGTTTTCTTACAGAAGACGCCCAATAGTAGAAGTTTATATCATAGTTTTTCGGTTTTCTTACAAACCTTCTCTACACGTTAGTTAAGAGGAACTAATTAAGAATAATAAGGTTGTAATCGTGAATGTGAGATATAATGACAAACAAAAAACTATGGTTTATCAGTATGTTGATTGTTATTTAATTACTAAATATTGTACTATGTAAGTTTTTGCAATACATTATATGTAATACAGCACAATATTTTGTGATTCTATCCTCTTACCAATTCCATTCTGTGTTTTACATTATTAAGTTATGAATTTGTGACTAGACTTAATAGTATGTATTTCATATTGAAATACTAGCTGGAATACCCGTCCCCTGGACTGAAGTTATGTAAATTCGTGATTAATGAAAGGTTATCTTAGGACATTAAAAGCTGCTTTCCTTATATGTAATTGTAAAAAAAACGCACATAAAAACTGCAAAACACAAAATGTGAAACCGCAAGTTTGCACGTATCTCCGCTTGGACCCAACAAACCTTCATACCAAATTTGGTTAAGATCCATCAACAGGCAGCGAAATAGTGGTAAAAACCGCAAAATTGACACAAAATGATTTGAATAAAACTTATTAGTTTAGTGTTTATTATTTGTCTTTCTATGTACTACGGAAGAAATGATTACCTTTGATGATATATAAAAAACCATGACTAATTTCTGAAGATGCTCTTAGAGAAAATTACAAACATTACAAAGTCAATGTTTATGTATTCTACCCGACGTTTCGGCTTACGCCTTTTTCAAAGGTCTATGAACGTCACAAGATACAAAACTGATTTTATATTTTACATATTAACGTGTTATATGATTAAATAACTTTATAACAACATGCGTGTAATCAACGTGCCACAAAGAAACTGTGTTCTTTGGTTGTCTCCCTTGCTCATTATAAATCGTGTGAGTATCACTGTGATATCAATGTGGATGACAGTGACAGTTTAATACAGCTGGGCTTTTCCTAATTCTTTTATCCATCAATGCGTCTTGCTTACACAATATAAATTAATACATGTACTATTTTTGGTATCATTAAGGGTAGTTCAAACTGTTTCTGGTTAAAGCAAATATGAAAAAGCTCAAGATCTATTAGGGTTAGTTTCAAAGTTAACAACTGCTCGAAACGCAAGTAATATGATTTAAAACAAGGTTACCTGCAATGTACAAAATCCCTCGATTGTGGTGTTGAAGTAAATGATGCCGATGTACCCAAAAAACATTAGTATCAGGATCAGTCCTTCCCACCTTAAACGAAAAATTATAAGATATTTCGTTAGAATAGTTTATTGGAAGTGGGTGACTGACTGCTGAACAAGCCTCACAAAATCGAAATATCTTAAAGTAAATATTCAATAAACTATCCTACTAGGTACGAAACTACTGATACTGTTAAAAATTGAACTACAGATGACTATCATTCGTATTATAACTAATACTTATTTGTCCTATGACTTATGTAAAACCTCAAGAAAGGCACAAATTCCAAATCTGTCCATTTCAGTCTGAGAAGGTTGACACAATAAATCATTGTCTCATCGGGATTAGTCGAAATACAAAGAAACAACAGATCAAACGCCTAATTGTGACGGTTCTCTAAAGACACTTTTATGCCAAATCTCATCTGAATTAATGGAAATATAAGGTAACAGCATGCTGAAATACATGTTTTTGTAATGTTCGATCTTAGATCCCCTAAAATCTAAATGAAGGGCAACACATAAAAAGTGAAAAAGCAAACTAAGCGTATTAGATCATGAGATGTGCCCTCCAAATTTCAAGATTATCGGTTCATAAATAAATGAGTAGTGCACAATATCAAAATTTTATGCTATGGAAATTCATGGATAGCGTTGAGGACAATCTATTATTAATCCTAATACAGAAGTGTTTCGTTATTGCTGCTTGATAATAATTTCTGAAGAAAGACATGACGTAACGAATGAAGCTACATAATGGGCTATCTGTGCTCTACCCACCACCGGTATCGAAACCCGGTTTCTAATGTTGCAAGTCCGCAGATATACCGCTGTGCCACTGGGGGGCCGTAACGAATGAAATTGATCACATATACCTGGAGTTTTTTTTTGGGGGGGATACGTAGTACGATAACGCTTAAGTATTTAGTAATTAAACCGAATTTCTGGTTTAGGCTGAAAAAACAAATTCATATAAATATCAAAATGTGCTTTAGTATGTAAAACTATAGACAGAAGTTTATTAAATTCTTAAATAAAGTAACGCTCGAAAATGAATTAAACGTGAAATAGATATTAGAGCAAGTAAGATTTAATCATTTTTCTTAACAAAATAAAAACTTATTTTAAATGGTGACGTTTAGGATAATAATTTACAGTTGAAATTCTAAACGGACCAGATTAACTAATTATCTATTCGCATCACCACTTACCAATATACGACGTTGTCATTTATCACACCAACCAAAGCTACAACAGTTAAAGCATAAATGAAAGAATCGCGAGAGATTGGATACCAGTCCAAAGGCACGTCCTGTGAAGAAAAGCAAATGTTTATGAAAAAAATCTTGAAAAAAAGATTTTGATTATGATATTATACTGAAATATACTGTCCTGTTCAAAATTACTATGTTTAACTTAACTTCTAGAAGTTAAAAATTTTTGTAATAAATAAAGATTCATATGTTCTCGGTACATGAATCAAACTTAATATGGATATTAGACGAAATGTTTCATGAATACATTTTGAGAGTATACCTCAAAACAAATCAATAATTTTTAACTTCCATACGTTCTCCAGTAGGACAGCGGTAAGTCTACGGCCTTGCTATGCTAAAATCTGGGGTTTGATTCCTCGTTGGACAGAGCAGATAGCCCAGTGTGGCTTTTGCCTTAAACAAACAAACCAATAATTTCCATGCAAATTTATCATTATTTTAAATTGGGCATAATTTTACTCTGAGTTTTCTTTAGTTCTTTAACACATTCTTATGCGAATATATGAATTTAGTTTGGGCTCCATGGAATTAGAATTGAAAATTATAAGACTAAGTTTTTACCGTTTTCCAAACAACTAGTCCTGCTAGTGTTGAAACTCCTAATACGTTAAAGACTGCCGATCCTACGATCGTACCCACTCCTATGTCTCCTTCAGTTACGAACACACCTGCAAATCATTGACTGTAGTCAGATATTGTATATTTTTAATTATTAACCAACTAAAATAATAGTTAACCAAATGTTTGAAAACATGATTGTATATTTTGAGATTTATCTATATAACTAGAATTGTAAGAGCTGGACGTATTTAGAGCAAATTGATACATAGTTCATTGCTAACACCACTTTCTCGTGTACCTGTAGTGTAAAGTTCAGTTATTTCCAACTTTTTAAAATTGTTTACTTAGAAAACTGAAGTCCTTTATTTTGTAGTTAATTAAGATTTTGGGGGATACAAAGCCATGAACTTATCATTTCTCAAGTATGTACATTAAAACAGTGGACTTGAACTGTTTTTCTTTCATAAGTGCAAAATACAATAATTTATTTTATAATGTAGGACACTGTGTTTGTTATAAACAAGTTGTGGAAAAATTAACACTTAGCAACTACCAAGTAACATAGGAAAACAACGGATAATACAACTCCTGATACTCAAGTAGAGAAAGTATTGGTGATAGGTTTTCAACAAAATAAAATAAACGTTTTAAAAGTCAGATTTGCAATTAAAACTTACCAATGATCGATGAAAACAGTTCTGGTGCAGAACTTCCTATTGCCATAAAAGTTGCACCAGCAATATCAGATGGAATTGTTAGAGCTGAAAAAAAAAGTGATGCTAAGATCAATTAAACTTAATCCATAACTTAAGTGTTTGCACACACACGCATGCACACATATAAACACACTCAGATATTTATATAGATGTGCAACGTCCCTTTAACGAATGCAAAGACAGCTTAACACGGGTTTTGTGGTACAACCTTTGGTAATATTTGGTAAAATACGTTATGAATCAGTATGCTGAATGTTTCATTCGAACTTTAATTATTAATTCAACTAGTATCGTAATATAAAAAATACCTAATAAAAATCAAGTAAAACTTTAAGCTTGCAATTCATAACCATTCAGACCTTCGCGGTGAAACGACTCCTAAGTTACATGCGTTTCCATCATCTTTAAATGGCTCTATGCATATCCAAGAATACCGGAATATTTCAAAATACATTTGAAACCAATGTGTTTAATGGTTAATGGTAAATGCAAAAAAAAAAGCATTGTCTTTTTTTTGTCTCTTGAGTGAAAAAATCTGCCTAAAATAAGTGTTGTAGAGAAATTGTGAAAATCATAAAAAGTACTGTAATTGGCATTAAAAACGATTTACTTAGTTTTACCAATGTTTTTCTTTATTCTACAATATATATATTGTACGTATATATATATATTTCTAATAAGTAAGACTATCCCTGCCTCACGCCATTCGTTGGCTCAACGGTAATACTGAAGGTTTATAACACCAAAAATCTGTTTTCGATACCCACGATGGACAGAACATAGCTCAATAACCATGTCTCACTGAATCGTGATATGTATTGAATGAAAGCTTGGAAACAAGGAATAATGAAAATAAAAACAATCACAGTGAATGAAATATAACTTTTTGTACCGGTCACCTTATAATGTATATAGTTAATTCAAATGAAATGTATGATATTGATATATGAAACCTTTCTTATGCGTATATTTTAATTGCATTATTACCTATAATTCACCATAAACTTTATATAAAGTGTTCTGTTTGCTTTTATAATAGTAAGAGTATTTGATTATCTACTTAAGTCGCTGACTTATCGTAGTTGATGGACTCAACTATATGCGCAGCTATTCATTCTTCTTCAGGGAATAAAAGAAAATCAACCACTTAAGGTGTACGTGTTTCTCTATCAGAATTCGATAAATTAAAAACCAAACCTATTAGAATTTCCTTTCCATTGAAAGGTCATGAAATCGTACCATCGCAGATAACTTCCAACGAAGGAACAAAATAGTCATCACAAATAATAGCCAAGATCCCGCAGAAGTAAATTGTCAGTAAAAAATGGATAACGATTCCACCTCTTAGTCTCTCACTTTGTGTGAAAAAATCATCTGGAAAGTCCTGGATGGATGGAGGTATGCAGTCAGGAAATGAATCCTCCTCCGTTTGCAGAGGGACCCTTCCTGTAATTTTTTTATATCAAACATTTTGAGAATTAATTGCATATGTAGCATCATTCCTACAGAAGTAAAGGCAAAACAGTTAAGTAAGAATATCTTGTATTTTAGTGTTAGATATATTAATAAAATTAACTGTCGCAATGAAACATATATTTATATTAATACACACTAAAAGCATAAAAATACATTTTGTGGACGTTCGTCATCGTAATCACAATAATTTTTCTATATTTGGGAATGTTTGAGATCACAATATTTATTTTGTTTAAACACTCAATTGAAGTTTCTTGGGAAGTATGTATTTATTATACATATGATCCCTTGAATACGTATTATTCGCTTATTTTTCCAAGATAATTAATATGTTTCATCTAAATACACATTTACTTTTTAATTTTATTCATTAGCATGCTTTGTACCATAACTTAAAGAGCTGATAATGGCAGACCTAAACTGTAAAGATTTACATAACAAGTATGGATGTACCCTATGATTATTGTTATCTTATTAACGTACGTTACACAGACTGAACTGTAACGTGAACGTATGGTTAAAACTGTATTTTGGAATGACATAAAACTTTGTAGTTCCAAAGATATGTAATATTTACAAAATTCATACAAAAGAGAACATTTGCTCTCTTTTTTTACATAGCTTGTTTAGCTGTTTAAAATACCCTGTTTAAGTTTAGTTCAGTTAGCGAGACAGCAGGTTGAGTTTATGATAATAGTGTGGGATAGCTTGTTTATCGGCTTAACAAAGGCTGTTGATTTTAATCCAGTTAGCAAGCCAGCAGGTTGAGTTTACGATAGTGGTGTGAGATAGCCTGTTTATCTGTTTGGAATAACCAGTTCATGTTTAGTTCAGTTGTGGCTTCATCGGGGCTGTCAGTACAAGTGTGTTTTTCTAGACCACGCTTGCTAACAATATATTCATTCAACATTACCCTGAAGTATTTTAGATTATTATTATTCCACTCTCTTGAATTATGATTACAAAATTATTACTAAAGTTTTTATCACTGATAGTTTGGCCAAATCATTAACTAATGTATTTGAATTGTGTGTTTGTAATATAGAGGTACTGTTTCAACGCCACTGATACTTAAATTGAGATTAGATTACAGCACACATGACTGAAACAAACTATGTTAAAAATATATCAAGGAAACGCTTTTGATAGCATTGAATATTCGTTCATGTACTGACAAAGTTCTTTTATTAAATGAGTTACAATATGTTATAGTGACGTTTAAAGTTGTATTAGACTTTATGATTATTAAACTAAACTATGTGATTTTTATTGAAAGAGACATCAGACAGGTATGAGCGTTATTGAATCCACTGTATATCTATGCATAACGCCTTACATTTGTTATTACCCTTTCACCAAATACATTCAGGTTCAACGTTGTCCTTGCAATTTCTTTGAAATATCAATGTATAGGTGATGTTATTGTTATGATTCTAATATCCAACGTTTTCAAAGATTGACTGGTATGCATAACAGTCGTATGATATGGAAAGGAATTAATCGTAACTTAGAACAAGTATTAGTGGCGTAACAATTTCTAGCAAGAAGTTTTATGTCCTTGGGTTTATTATCCACAATCAAAATCATGTAATGCATAATTTGAACTTATCCGCTATTTTACACAGTATTATGAAATTATCTGTCCATGGTGACCCCGAGTTATATTTTTAAAAAGTAGTTTAATAGTTAAGTCTTTCATATCGAGTGTAACTTGGTATCCTTTGTAAGTAATAATTGAAAAAAAGCAACTTGCTACAAAAATTTATTACTGGTTATAAGGAGAATGAAGGTGTTCATAAAAGAATATATATGACATCTTAATTCGCCCTGTTAAAGATTCACTATTACCCTTACTCGTGGATGCGTATAACGAACAATCTATGTTTACTTAAACTGTTTTAATTAATGATCCATCCCCTTTAAGATCAATACGATATCAGTTTCATTTGCAAGTATATGCCAAGTTATAACAGGATTTTCAGATCTTCATGCATTGTAGCATATTCAACATTGTATAAAAATACCCCTTATGATATTTGTGCATTGTTAGGGTAGATTATTTATTGTATGAGGTTACTCTGGTTTACTAAGTGATACAGCTTTTATTGAAGACGATTGCTCGTTACGTTTAAGTTATGATAATGTCAAAAACTGAACAAGAGTCATTGTTATCTGATATATATATAGGTTAACCGTTATCCCTCATGACGTGATGATATTTTCTTGTCAACTCTATATATATAACGCCCCTCAGTGGCACAACGCTATGTCTGCAGACTTACAACGCTAAAAACAGGATTTCGATACCCGTGGTGGGCAGAGCACAGATATCGCTTGTATAGCTTTGTGCTTAAACTACGAATAAACAAACATAGAAAACTCATAAAACGTTTTTAAATAATAATCTTAGACTATTTATCAGTTTTCAAAAAACAAGTTATATAATATGTGTTTAATATGGTCCTCTCTCGTTCTAATTCCCAGAAAACTAAAGTCTAAAAATACAACGGATACTAAATGTATAGTTTTGAAATAAACTCACCAATATCTTTAGCTGGCGATCCTGCTGCACTGTAAAAGGCATGTTCTTTAGGATATTCGGCATAATAGATCTTTGAAACAATAAGTAAAACAGGAAAGATGCAGAAAAGTCGAACACGACTACGACCGAAAGCTTTTAATACAATCCCTCTACGATTGTTAGCCATAACAGCCATTGATATATGTGTCTAAATAGTGTTTCACTTTTGTTCTCAATTTAACATGAACCTCTGAGGATAAACTTTATTTCATTAACTACTGGTGCTTAAAATAGACTAGGGAATTGTTTTTCTAACCATCTTACTTGTGCCTGAATCTTGTTTTGCAACCTAGTATCGTTGTTCTTTCTAAATCACATGATCCTGTTTGTACAACAATACGACAAGGTTTATCTATCTTAACAAATACTGCTATGCTGTAAATAAGCTTTATCTCAGCCATTCTTCATTGTATAACTTTTGTACATTAGAGGTCAAGAGAAAGTTGCTGATAAAAAACGCCCCCCAGTGGCACAGCAGCATGTCTGAGGACTTACAACGCTAGAAACCGGGTTTCAATACCCGTGGTCGGTAGAGCAAATATAGCCCATTGTGTAGCTTCGTGCTTAACTTCAAGCAACAAACAACAACAACTGATAAAAAACTTACATATTATCTCAACGTTAAGTTGGGTAAAACTAAGTTTTTTTATTGTGTAATGTTTTGAAAGAAACTCTTAGGTTAATTTATTGTAATTAATTATTAATTTTATACTCCAACAAAATTCCCAATTAGTTCTTTAAACGAACTTTAATGGCTTTATTGCACAAAAAGAACGTGTTTTTGATCGGCTTAATTTAGATTAACTGAGTCGATTGTTACTCAAGGATATTTAAATAAAACAAACAATACTCTAGGAGAAAATTTAATTTTAAGATTAGTGTTAGTTGATTGCGTATATTTTTACTTTTTGAACATACTTTTTAAAAATATTTCCCAAAAATGTCTTAGTCTTCAAGCAAGATCACTTTGATTTATATCAATAATTTTCTCAACAGACATTAGAAGGTATTGCGATTTATACAAAGATTATTTTCTGCCTTGAACAATACCATGACACTTAAAGAATGAACAAACAATTCAAAAATTTAGATATACAATATTTTCACACAGTTTTCAATGTTTAATTTATAATACAGAGGAGGCAGTTTGTTTGTTTGTTTTAGAACAAAGCCAATTTGGGCTATAATTGTCTTGTTCTGGTCACTTCTCCTCCTTGTTTTTGGAATAAATTATGTTATCTTTGTATTGAGCTGGTGTTAAATGAGTTGAAATTGGAACGTCCTTTACTGCCTGATTATAAACTTAAATGGAATTGGTAGTTCTGTCAGGGAGAAGAGATCATGAAGTGATGCTGTCCATTGAACAAAGAAAGCAAGTTAATGATCAGAATCCAGCCACAATTTCTTTCCAGTTCTTTTCTAGTTCATCTACAGTAAAGATCTGTTTATTACTACAATATACTCACATTTGCTTTGCAGTCTTCAGATTTGAAAGAAAGACAACATTAGCATTAAACACTAACTAGGAAGGAGTAAAACCATCTGTTCTTTCTGTTGCTTGAATAAAGAATCTGCTTGCTTGTATTCACACACTAGAAGAACACCTAGTCAAAGTATCTTGGTCATAAGAATTCCTATACATGTTCTTGACAAGTTCTGCGTCTATTACAGAACATTCCATATGATATTTGTCTGGAAATCAGTTTTTAATTGGAAATGCCACAAGGAAATAGAAAGAAGAAAATATGTTCCTGTGACACCAGTATTCATTGTTTGATTTCTTTTGTGATGAGATAATACATGTACCTAATTTAATTTGATATTTTGCCATAATGAGTTTATAAGGAAAGGCTCATAAAAGAAGCTTTCTTTGAGTATAAAAATACTCACAGGCAAGAAAGGGAATCTATTTGTAAAGAGAGATGGTTGAGAAAGAGGAGGACAAGTCTATGAGGAGTCCTCTACTGGACTGAGTACTTTCAACAACGCTTTAGAATCCAATTACATCAGTCAGCCTTTAGTCATAGACTCAGAAAGATCTGCATACATCTGTTGCCCACAGAATACGCAAGGATTGATCTCAGCTACAAAAACGCACAGACAATTGAGGTGCAACAGAATGGTGGGGCATCTGGTAATATCAATACTGCATGAGGGGTCTTTATTGAGCTCCCAGTGTATTGCCAATCAGAGCAGCACAACCTCAGCTCTAGTCAAGATCACCAGCGAAAGGTGAAGAGAGGTTGGATTTGCCATTGGCAGAGGAATTCTACCAGTAGGAGTTGTCTCCCTGGCAGGTGAGGTGACGAGCACACATGGGTCAAGAATGTGACTCATGACCCGAGCACCTAAAGGAATAGAAAGAATCCATGCAGAATGAATGGAGGTCTACAACAACTGGGATTGAGCAGAGCTGTATAACAACTCACCGTGATCAGCTCATTGCCTTACAAGCATAGACCATAGAGCAACTGTTCATTAGGGTGACAGAGTGCTAGCACATAGCCTTCATGAAGAGCCAATAATGTAGAGAACACCTTGGATTGTTTTTATTGAATTTTTTTATATATATAGAATAAAAATTCTTCAAAAATATGAGAATATCACTATCAGCTCTCGTGCTATTTTCTTTGCTTCTGTAGAATATAGTGCTACTGGTTCTACATATCTAGTGGCAGAACCAACCACTGCCAGAATATAGTTATTCCTTTGCTCTGTTACTGAAAATGATCAAATAATATTGGTACTAAAAAAACACTAAAGGTCTCACTAATAGCTGGTACGTTAATCATTGGTTTTTTACTTTCATACGCATGTCCTGTATATCAGATATTTATACATAAATTTCTATATCTCCAAGTATATTCTGCCAATAATAATTTTTACTTACCCTATCTCTCATTTTAGCTATGCTTAAAAGTTTGCCAACATTCCATGATGCTTTAACTCTAATATTTTCTGCCACTTTCCTTTGGGAGTACTACTTGATTCTTACTGTCCAGTGTATCATTTCCATTACACTTATGACTCAATGCTCCTTCCCATCAGTAAAAATAATTTCACCCCAGTTTCACTGGGGAATTTATCCAAACTCTCATCTTCTACCTGCCAGTTAGTTATTTGTTCTGGATCCATATTTCACATCCAAGAAGCAGTTAAAAATTTGTCATTATTTGCATTATTTACTTTATTATTTATTTCTTCACTAGCCTCGATCCATGTTTCAGCGTTTTTTCTAATCTCATTTATTACCTGGCTACTTTTGTTATGTGCTACTACTTCTATTAACGTACTCTGCAACCCAAAAGCTTCTACCTCATTACCGAGCAAAACTGGATGTGGGATACCATTTGCTACTCCTAAAACTATTTCATTTTCAAAAGCTCAACATTTCAGTATTGATTTGGCTAGTGGTACACAGCTCTTCCTGCTGTGGTGCTAAGTCCAATTAAGTGTAATGTATCACCTGTGAGTTGGGTACCTTTTACTAACTCTTGTTCTCACCAGAACTTTCCAACTACCAGTATCCCTTAATTTACTTACATCTTGCTCTTTACCGTCATTTCTTATAAATATCTATTTAAAATTATCTCTATGTCTATAATGCAACACATTATATTCTTTCTTATTTCCGCAATTTTCTTATTCTGTCTACGTAATTTAGCTATATTCTCTGCCTGGCCGCATATAAAACAATTTCTCTTCTTACTGATAAAATCACACTCTAGAAAAATTATCCTTAACACTATCGGGAAGCATTGACCAATTTTTATTCATTTGTTGTAAAAAGCTCTACTAGTAGGATGTTCACCTACTTCGAACTATGTTCCTTGTCACTACGTATTCATTCGCAAATATCACTGTTTCGTGTATTCTTATCTTTTAAACAAATCATTAACTGTGTTGGTAATTTTGTCAAAATTTACTCTTGCGAGATAAAACCTACATTCTTGTTAACACCTCTACTACAATTGGATCTTTGATTTCATTAAACTAGCAACTCACTCAATCTTCTTCTATACTCTTCAAATGTCTCATTTGCCATTCTTCTAACTCTGAACTTTGCATGATAACTTTCCTGATTTAACTCATACATCTAAAAAGTAGGTAATTTCCTCCCGGTCTTATTGTATGCTGCTAACACCTTTCCAGGTAATGCAGGAAGAGTTTTCTCTCCATATCCTGTGGCTGTCATTCCTCTGATCTTGCTCTTTTTTTCAAGAGCACAGAAATATACATCTATTTTGCTTTTATAAAATTTAAGCAACTCTACATGAATGGTTCTTTCATACATGCCAGCTCTGTCACCAGAATTACTCTGCCTTCCACTGTTCGTTAACTCGAATTCACTTGCTTGTATCTATCGTTTAACTCTAGCTCTAAATGTTTATTCTCAGCTTCTACTTCCAAGTATTTACTCTCAAATTCCAGCATTTCATTTATTATTATATCTTAGCAAGTTTTTAATCATTACCATGAACACCATTTGCAGTTTCCATATTTTAAAAAAGCTCAAGATTTAAAAAATTATCTATTGTGACTCCTGGCGAAGTTAAACTTTACTTATCTAATCTTTTCTCTCAATTTCTACTGTAAGTTATACTCAACTATCCACATTTATTCACCAACTGACTTTTTTCAGTGATTTCTAAGCCTTATCTATGACAGTGTTAATTCTCTACTCTTAAAATTTATAATTAGTGAGGATTAACCATCAAAAACAAAACAGGCAAAACAAGAACAAAAAGGAAACTTATTCTATTTTCCAAACTTCACTGCTCATTCAGTTGACTTTCTTCCTCAGATTTTATTGATTTGACAGTGGTAACATGTGATTCCGAGTTGCTAACATTAACTTGTACTAGTCGCTTCACTCTTCTGTTCTTTCAGCAGGTGACATTGTCTACCCACAAGGATATTTCAGTGCTGTGTACTGAACCTTGTTTACACGAACTGGAACTGATATATCCTTTGCTGACTGATTATGATGTCAACTAAAATTGATAGTTAAGAAATGCTCTCAGGTAACAGAGATTACGAGGTGATGATGTCCACTGGACAAAGAAAGCAAGTTGATATTTCAAATCCAGGCACACTTTCTTTATACAATTCTCTCTGATTTTGTCTACAGTAAAGACCTATTGCAGTCTTCAGTTTTGATAAAAGAAAAACTTTAACACTAAGCACCGGCTAGCAAGGATCAAGAACTGTCCACCAATATCTGTGGATATTTGCATTGTGTTTTCTTTTTGTTGTTTGAATAAAGATTTTG